GAATGCATAACACACGGATCACAATGAAATGATCCGTTTCATTGTGATTGATTTTGCACTCCTTAACTTTAGTAAACATTTCAATTAGGTTGATATAGTTGTGCTCCTAGCTTTACTGAGATTGACTATAGATAGTGGCCACTCATATCTAGGAGAGGCATTTCTTTGTTAAGAGTGGTTAGCTTCAATCTGGTGTACTTAACACATTATGTAGTGTTGCGCAGGGTAGAACTCTTTGTCCTTTAATTATCGGTAGTAAATATCGGTTGGATAAGATGCTTACAATCGGCTCAACATTTTTTTTAAGCGCAGCAGTATCAGGTGCTATGGTCTTGTATTGAACCCGAAGAAAACGCAAACTATTGCCGTTAGTTCTAGATTGCTTCTCATTAGATTGTTTGATTTTTGCCCTCATCTTGACTTGGCGTCTGCACATTATAGAAGTTGGTAAAAATTAAAGTTTTGTCATAATGATCCAAATTCATTCATTCATCACCTATATATTTGCTTAAATCGCCTATAGAACCGGTTTAGTTATATTTTCCAATAGCCTCCTGAAAATCTGGAACAGTTACAGCTAAATTTATTTCTCTTTGGCAAGTTGGCATATTTAATTGCTAATTGTTTGTTCGTTATGTTATATCAGTACTAAAATAGCCATCTTTCTATTGGCGGGATATTAATATTCGGGTCTAATTTAACTTCTCCTAAATTACTTCTAAGTGGGTAACATTCTGGACGCTGTTGTGAAGAAACTCATTTGTGCTAAAAGTTCAGATTTAGCTGGACGAAATGCGTGTTGATCAGAACTTGAACCTCAGCCACGATAATTTGCTTGAGATGAGAATAAGTTGAGAATTGTTACTATAGAGTTACTAACATGCTATCTTGTTAGTCTGGGTAGTCACGTCTATGTGACATAAAATCACCTTGGAATATTTACACTCCATATGACTACAGTATTTCGAAATGTTAACTGATAATCTTTCTGAATACTTCCTTGCAAATTTCCGCTTGTTATCTTTTTATCCACTATCGACATGCTACTTAGACAACATATATACTTTTATTATTCCATTGAGATTTTAACTTCAAAAAATTGAATCAAATACTTTTTTTGGTTTTTATGGTATTAAATATTACGATTTTATTTCATTTTTCATTTAACCTAATCGTTTAAATGTTTAACTAAATCCATTACATTCTGAACCTAAATAAACTTTCCATGTGAATAACCCAAGTTCAACAACTTCTTAACACAGGGGGAACAGCAACAGTAATTACAAGAGAATAACGAAGACTTAGAGCGCGTAACAGGTATCAAGTAGCCTTTTGTCTCGGACTACCACGTGACATAATTAGCAGTCTGTTAACAGCGTCAAGTTCGGGCGCGTGCATCCGATTCGTTTTGTTTAAAGTGTTGGTGATGATTCCCGTGGACGACCTTTTTAATAAAAATCGTCGTCGACGACGACATCGGAAGTTTTCAGGCGACGTCGCGGGGCGGAACGGATGAAAGGGGAAACGAAGGTCCCTAGTAAACGTGAAGGGTGGAGGTCGGGTCGGTCTCACCCCTCAATTCCCTAGGGTGGAACCAGGTCTGACCTAATACCGTATGGCCTCGATACCAACGCCGCCCGTCGACGTCGTTTCTATGTGGGTTATTACAACGGCGCCCACTTGTTTTACGTTTCCATCCTCTCAGGGTTAATGAAGATTATGTAGATATTGTATAGATGTTATACAGGGTGATTAAGTGACATGCCATGTAATTTTTTATAGTAAAATCTGAATATTTACAGCTTTTTTTGTTATGGTAGTTTGAGTAAAAACGGTTATGTGTGGTACACTTGCATGAAAACGGTTTACATAACACGCTACTGTCTGTCGAGCGGTGTACACGTTTTCATAATCGAGTAAAGGTCACAAAAATAACTGTTTTGGAACGACGTTTGCATACCAAAACACTTTTCTTAATAAAGGAAAAAGTACGGGTTTAAAATAAACCCAACCGGAAATTTACGTCTTTGTTTTTTAAAACTTTTAATATCTCCGTTTTTTACGAGTAAAACAATGTTTAGATTGTTGACTGTATACAATGATGTTGTTTTTAATTAATTATTTAAAAGTAAACGTAAAAATTCGATTAGTGTCATTTGTAACGGCGCTTAACTGTAACTGGTAGTGCAGAACGAAAATTTAATGAAGATTTCACTTGACGAAGCGAGCGGGACTCTACGGTCATCGCAACAATACCCACTTTCACAGAGAAAGTTTATAAAAAAATTACATCAAAGAAACTTGGTGATTTCCGTAAAACAGTGTTGAATTTATTTGAAAAAAAAAGTTATATTTTGATTCTTACATCATTTTAAAATTGGAAAAGGGAAAAATTGCGAAGCTTTTTGAATGAATTTATTTAATTCAATTAAATTAAATAATTAATCTCATTAATTTAAAAGTATGTACCTAGGCGGTTTTTGGTTTTAATAAATTTGAATAGATGGCGATAAAAGCTACTTTTGCAAATAGATCATGTTAGCGATTTTTGACATTGTCGTGATCTTTGTTTCTATTTATAACAGTCTTTTTACCGACTTTGTTTCTACGAGCAGAAGAATTAAAAGTTTTAGCATATTTTATTTTAAACATTTACCGTCATTCTCAGTCTCTATTTCATAATAAATGAGGTTAATACAATAAGCGGTTTGAAGCATCCCCTATTTTACTTGTTGTGAACCGAGGATTAAAACCATAAAGTTCTTTAAGAACACGAGTTATTAGATGCAATTAGAAAGCATTAAGAGCAATTAAAAATTGAGATGTCCATAGAACCATTGGAAGTTATTCCAAGTAATTGAAAGCTAATGAGAGGTGTTTAAAGCTTGTAATAGCAAAAAGTATCAGGAGCCACTAGATAAAGATCAAGGGCAGCTAAGAGCTAGTAAATTCTGAGTTACTTAGAGATATTGATGTACTGATAGCTTTTTGAACCAACGCGTTTTGTGAGCAACAAGGCTCAGTAACAACGAAAGATATTAGAAGCTATTCGGCGTCACTGAGAAGAATTTGATTGGGATGCAGAATTACTAAGAGATTAGGAGTCATTCTGAGTAATTGAACGCTTTTGACAGATATTTCAACCCTTTAATACCTAAAAGTAACAGGAACAACTTGGCGCTACTACAACATAACTGCATCGGGAGCAATCGCGAGCTATTTAGAGATATTCGGAGTAATTGGAAGCATTTAAAAGTGTAAGGTATCGAGGGCAGCTTATGAGTTAATTAGCGATATTGCTGTACTGAGAGCTTTTAAAAAACAAAACTTTTTGTGAGCAACTAATCCCGGTAATAACAAAAGATATTGGAAGCTATTCGGAGCCAGTGAGAACCATTAGGAGTCATTCGGAGTAATAAAAAAACTTTGACAGATATTTCGATTAAAAGATACGTTTCGAGCTATTTGGAGGTATTCGGAGTAATTGGAAGCATTTATAAGTGTAAGATATTGAGGGCAGCTAAGACCTAGTAAATTTAGAGTTAATTAGAGATATTGATGTAGTAACATGCAGTAACAACGAAAGATATGAGAAGCTATTCGGAGTCAATGAGAAGAATTTGATGCACAGAGAACCCATTGAGAGAAATTAGGAACCATTGAGAAATGTTGACAGCCTCTAAAACTATAAGATATTGGAAGCAACTTAGAGTTAATCCAAATAAATGATATTGAGAGTATATGACATTAATTGAAATTATTTTGAGCAATTATGTTATTATTGACAGTTTTTAATTTGCTCTTGTAAAACGTGTATGACATTATTACACTTCAAATCAAGATTATTAAGTATTAATACTTTTATTAATCGTATCTTACAAGTTTCGGCTTTTAGTAATCATCAGATATCTATAATTAATATTTTTAAAACAATATAGATAACATTACATGATGTTAAAATTAAACGCAATTTTAACGTGGTTAACATTCGTCGTACAATTTAATAAGTTTTAATATAATTATAAATATAATACCATAAAAATTGAAGATAACTCGTGATAGCTAAAAGTCAAAACTTGCCAAATCGAATTAATCGGTTAATGAATATTTTTATATTTTTGGTAATAAAACCATCGTTATAACCCTTAAAACAAACCGGCAGCTGAGTTGATAACGTTATCTAAAAAAGCAAATGCATCGAACTCGTTCGATGCTAAGTTTTAAACGACGGAGTATTACTTTTGTCATTGTTGCGATTTAAATTTTAGATTACACCTAATGAATTTCGATAGTCAAGTTGAAATTCTTCGGCAATTTTCGGTGAATGTCATTACGTGGGTTATCTAAAACGATAACGACTCCGTTCTTTTTTTTCCTTTTTTTTTTGGTTAATGTAATATTCTCTTTGTGTAAATAGTCGGGTGTGTGGTAATCGTTTAGTTCTATCTTATCTTTTCGAAACTTGAATTTCGAAGTTCACTAACTATAGCTTTTGCGTTGTAATAAAAACGAACATTTAAATAAAATATTATACAGGAGGGGGTGCATGCGACACTATTTGATAAGATAAAAATGTATACAAAGTAAAGTGGGCAAGAGAGGTTTTTCCTTGATTAGTTTTAATCAAGAGACAATTGTTATTGTTGGAATGTTATAAAATGTAGAGATAGTGGTTGGCTATTATGTTATGTATTATGTCTTATCTCGAGATTAAACAAAAAAGGGGGATTAGAATTTTAAATTTATTCACGTAATCTTGCTGTATATCTTACGTCAATTTATGAAAATTAATATTAATGTGTCATTAATCGTAATCAAAGACCTAGACTCACTCGTTCGAATGCTTAGATATTCATATAGGAAGTAACGGTTTTTTGATTATTTAACCTACTTCATTTTTTTATTATTTTGCTATACGAGAATATTTTATCTTATCTTTCGTTTTTGTTATTTATTTTGTGTTTACTCGATTAAATTTAACAAAAAGTAATTTTACTTACAATATCATGTCCTTGAGTTCCTCCCTTCACCACTTCCGGTGCCATGTACTCTATTGTGCCACAAAATGAATAAGCCCGCTCTAAATTTCTTGATAATTCCTTACTTAACCCAAAATCAGTCAAGACAATATGACCAGATTCGTCCACTAAAATATTTTCCAACTTGATATCTCTATAAATTATCCCCAACTGCAAAAAAAAAGAAAACAAAATAAATCAAATAAATAATTAAAATCAATTTTCGTATCTTAAAGCTTTATTTCTTAAGCATTATCAAAAGGCACATCAGGCACATGCTATATAATAATGGGCAGGTGTTCCCAATGAACCAAAATGAGTCTCCGCTCCTAAGAGATCGAGATTCTCGCTTGAAGGTACATGGAGCAGCAGCAACCCAGCATCTGCACCCAGAAGCCAGACAGACGACACCAGGTGTATAGTGTTCTTAATATAGCCAGTATTTCATTCTGATATAAGAGCTATTTTCCCCCGAGAAATTCAGCCCTCTCAACACCTGGTCAACAACATCTCCGTTGGTTTCGTGCCTAAGATACAATACCCTCGCTACCTTTCTTTTACCCTTAGTGCCCTTAGGGGTGACGATTCTCTTGTTACAACATATATACGATATTAAATTTAAAACTTTAAATTATTTTTATATATTTTTCTCTAATTTGTCATAATAAATTATTACGATATTAAATAATTCGATAACACATTATCGACGAAGGTTATCGTTTCTGGCACAGCCTTATTACTACATCGGATTAAAGATGAATTTCAGAAAATTGAAATTAATTGCAAAAAAATGCAAAAATCGTTGTTTCTGACGACAATTTTGACGTCAGCCATTATTTCTTTTAATGAAACTAGTTTTGCATATACGTAAAAGAGCGCCTTTTACGTTCGCGAATAATACGTTTATTTTTAATAACTTAAAAACGTTAGTAATAATTTATTAACATAGATATACTAGAAATGATTATCATAATTTGTTAATTAAATTAATGTAAAAATTTATATAAATAAATATCAAGTTGTTTTAAACCCGGTAAAATATAATAAATTTATTGGTTAGCGTTACAATAATAATTAACGTTATAATTAATATAAAATTTGTTATGACTTTATTCAATATTCTCCAATTTCAACCATATTGTGCGCACATGGTTGAGTTAATATGATGACGATAACAACGAAAATATGCCATGATAACCCTCGAAGAAATGAATAGTGAAATTGTTAAAAGTTACTTTAACGATGAAACTTGAGAACACTAATTCAAGTTGTAATAAAGCGAACATATTTAGAAACGTTTACTTTGTTTACATAGAAAAACTAGCTATGAATATCAAGAAATGAAATGTGTACTTATTTTGCCCTTGCATTTGTCAAACTTATACTAAAAAACCAGACAATCAAAGAAAACAGAATCATTTTGCCAATTTTAGCCATCTAAACTTGATTAATATCGGCAAAAAATTGGCTGTGTTACTGATTATAACACAAATATGGGGTATATAGTAAACAAACACGTTGATGAGTTTAACAGAATTAATCTGAAAATCGATTACAAGTATTTTTCCATTTTTCCAAGACTTTTTCGTTAGTTCATTTATAGTTAATTTTTGACGTTGAATATATTTTGACATAAGTTTTAATATTCGAGTTCTTTATGAAACAAATAACAGATTATAAATCGTTAGTTGGTTTCGAGTTTCTCCATCATCAGGAGAGAAAAAAAAATGAGTTATTAATACACTTCTATGAATAAGGGTTAAGTCAAGTTATGTTGTTGTGATAAACTAAATTGCAGAAATCCCAATTCAAAAGTAGTTCAATATTTCAATCCTTAACGCTAACGGACCTGTTTCCCATTTGGCAGCGTGTCAGAAGCAGAAATTACAGGATTTTGCAGAAATCAAAGTACAATGGGACCTGGAATGTATATGGTGTTTCCTCTGAAGTAATTAAATCTGCCGTCAGCCTCTTTATGAAATCCTTGGCAAATTGATCTTCCAACCATATCCAAGACATTTTAAAACTTAATACACAACCAGATTACTGATTATAGATTACGTTGAGTCTCATTTTCTGCTATTTGTGAATCAATTTGGTTTTACATTCGATACAGATGCCAAAAATGCGGTTGTGAATATACTTACAAAACGGGATTTTGAAATTACAAGAGCTCCATGTGAACAATTTGAGTCCTTTTTTAATGATTTTCAATGTCATGAAAGTTTTGACATATGAGAATGATTACGAGGAAGTTGTCTCCACTACGACTTCATTGGTAGATTCAGCGAATTAATGGTGTGTTAATTATGAATAAATAAGCTTCGTAATAATGAAGAAAAGTTTGTGCTGCTAAAATTAACGATTGATCCTCCCAATTTGAGATGCTACTACTTCGTATACTTATAGATTTTGTGTCTGCTGAAGTGGCTTACTTATGGTACCATAGCTTAGGACGCTAGGTTTGGCAGCAACCATAAATTCAGTTTACCTCGGAGGGCAGTAAGATTAATAGCTGGGCTTCATTATGAAGAAGATAACCGCTACGCTTTTAAACCTCAAAATATTTAGACACTTCCAACATTACCTATTTTACCTACTTATTTGCATAAGACATTATTGGGCAGATACATTCTTGAATATCTGCAATTTGCTATCCATATACATGAATTTGTTCTACCAAACAGTATTTCGTTGACATTTTGATTATCCCTTGTTGGCAAGGGAGCCACTTGCTACTACCACCATGCATTTAGTTTCTAAAGTAGGGACAACCATGTATAAAGCTGCGTTCGCTTGATAGAACCTGTGTAGTTGTCTGTGCAGGTCATTTTATGTCCTAGGTTTAAGGAATTCCTCGATATTCCACTTCTTCGATTACTTTGTCCATTAATAAGTTAAACAATATTGTGCTGAGACTATAGCCTTGTCGGATGCCATCTGGTTTAATTTGTGGATTATGTTTGTGAGATCAGCGAGCCTGTAATTTTCTTAGCTAGTTTTTCGCCTTTTTTTAATATAGGGACTTTTATACTGTTATGCCATTCTAATGATAATTCTGACTTGCAGAGAATTTCTTTTAAAGAAAAGATGTGTTTTAACATATCATGTCATAATAAGAGAATATGAAAAGTACATTGATTGGATAGCCTATGCCAATGTTTTAATAGATGCAGAAATTGCACCAAGTGGTATAGTTGCCAAAAGTATTTTTAAATCCATCTACTCTTGGAAATAAAGATACCATCTCGAATTTTGTTTTAAAATTTATCGAGTTAAACTACAAGTAGGGCATGTTATTAGATTCTGTAACTTCTCTGTACTTCCAAAACTAATATAATTATAAACATGATAGTTCCGAAATCCTCTGTAACTGATTTTGTAGTAGCCACAACAACGGTATAAATAGCCCTTTCATGTCTTGCCCGTTAGCGAAATACAAAAGTTTTCCTAATTGGATGACTGGGCCACTAAAACCAATAAAGATAATAAGATACATTTTGGAAATAAATTGAAAACGCAACTTTTAAAAAATGACTCATCAACGCTACATGATAAACATTCAATATTATCATTAATCAGAAATTTGTTAAAAAGACTAATTAAATTAAGCATTCATAAAATCAGACCGATAGAAAAAAAGAGATAAAATTTTGCGGAAACGGTATAAACATTGCTACTTTTATGGATGATGTTTATTAAACATTGGGCAAACATTCAGGGGGATTCATTGTGTTATTTTAAGATTTCTTTGTCCTTGGATGATTTTCGAAAAGATGCGACTAAGAAACAGGAGGATTATAGTTTGAATATGGTATAAAAATGAAATGTAGCCTAAGTAAAGTTATTGTGTTCTGTACTTTCTTTACTATTGGGTTATCAAAAATAAAATATGTCAGATACAGAACATCACTCTCTATGTAAAGTTTGGGTTGATAATTAAACTTTCGATGGTAAAGCTCCTTGGAAAGAACTCATCAACGTATACATTAGACAGAAACATGCATCTGTACGTCTCTTAAGACGGCTAAACCCAAATGTTTCTAGTTCTATGTCTACGGTTAGTTCTAATGTTAGTGTTAATTCTAGTTTTAGTTGTTTCGAGAACGTTTCGAGTTGTCGTCAATTGAAAAGTATTGACATCCAAATTTGGAGCAATTAGGAGACAATGTAAGCTGGTGAGATGCATTAGGAACTAATCAGATGTACTAGAAATAATTTAATAGAACTCAAAGTCATTCGTTATAATCGATATCCGTTAAGATTAATTTTGTATCATTCGAAACAATCGATAATAATCGAGGAATTAAAACAATGAGAGCTATTACAAGAGAATAAAAGGTCAGAAATCATCATTATAACACCACAAATTAAAATACTTTAATCATCTTAATAATTAAAGTAATCGAAATATCAAAAAAATTTATTAACCACACCACATGAAGGTTTTAATAATAAACGCTCTTCAAGGCTTCTCGCAAGTTGCGAGTGTTGCGACAACCTGAAGATGTTCTAATTCTATTTTAGCAACACGTGCTAGCAGTAGCACAGTTATAAATAGCTCGGAAGGGTTTAAATTAAACTTAGTTCGCCGTCGCTTTGTTCGATTGAAAACGTGGAGGAGAAGGAGACACGCGACGTCTCGTTTCGTGTGTACACTAGTAAAACACAGTCGATAGGGCATACTTGTTTTCATTATTACAACGACACGTTTAGAAAATAACAGGAAGGTCGTTTGACAAAGTAATTAACGGTTTCGGCTTGGTGATTTAAATTTACTTAAAGACACTACAAAACTTGGTAATTTATCAAAATGTAGAAAACGAGGTCGACTGATAGCATTGGAAAACGAAACAATGCGACTCATGCTTAGATATTGACCCCTTCTTATTATCTGCAGTATTCTCCACGTGCCAAGTAAAACCATCTTTTTGTTTGTTGGTTGATTTATTGTTTGTAGAGGTGTAAGGTGTTAATTTAGCAAATTACGTTGATTTTTTTTAATGGAAAGTTTTAAATCAAACTCGTTTAATTTGATGACTTATAAAATTTGCACGTGTATATCTTGGACGGTCGTAAATATCGATTTTTTAACCATCTCGTCTCGCGGTCACTCGTACACACATTAACCTGTATATTAATAATTAAAATGGATATTCCACGAGGGATAC